TTAGGCATAAAACTTTTTATACCGAGTAAGTATACAAAAACAGAAAAAAACATAATTAGGTGTCCGATAAATTTACGGTCTAAGCTCAAGGCCACATGATACATATGACAAAACTCAGATTTTATACTTTTAATATTTCAAAAGAAAATGAAGACATCAATAAAATGATATGCTTATAAAATTGAAAGATTTAATTGCTCACCTGGGTTTTAAATAATCACTGCGGCAGATCCGGAAGCCGGGTTTTTCTATCTAGAATCTTTATCATGTATATTTTTTATCATATATATACTTTATTTTATGTTGTTGTAATTCCTCCCTGGATGTTCGGGGAAAATATTAGATCAACTCCCAGATTTTCTACCGATTTTGAGACGAAAGATGCCGGTAAAGGCGTGGAGAAGTACCTCTCTGGTTTAGTCGTTGGCCAAAACTCTTTAGCGCCTCTTGGCCACTTTATCGTGCGTATCTTCAGCATTCGTTTGTGAACCTACATTTCCAATGCTTCAATTTTATTCATGATCGATATCTTTAGCGTCCACACTTATGCACTATACAAAATTATGGACCAAACATAGCACTTGACCATTATTTGCCTTAGTTCTAAACTGAGATGTTATTGCAAAGAAATGACTTCATTTTCATAAAAGTAGTTTTAGTCATTGCTATTCTACGTTTTATTTCTATGTCTAGATCTAGTTGGTCCGTTATCACAGTTCCCAAAGATGTCATTTTGTGAACTTTCTCAACTTGGACTCCGTCTAATTAAAGCTTTGCATCGGGATGTGAGTCATGACTAAACACTAAAAATTTGGTTTTGTTTGAGCTTATTTAATGCCCATTTCCTCTCCTACCTCCTACCTACGATCAAGCAGAATTTGAAGATCTTCAATATTATCTGATAGAATTAGTGTATCGTCTGCATATGTAATCACATTAAGTAGTTCCTCGTTGATTTTTATTAACTGCTTAGTTAAAAGCTTTTTAAATAACTGGTCCGAGTAAACATTGGACAATGTTTGCGACAAAATGCAACCTTGTCTGACTCCTCGTTGTATAGAGATTTTATCGATGTAGTTATCTCCAATTTTTACGATAGCAGTTTGATTCCAGTACAATTTTTTAATGACACGAATATCCGTGTCATCTATTCCGATATTTTTTAGTATTTGCATAAATTTTACATGCTGCACTTTATCGAGTGCCACGAAACATGCAAATACATCTTATCTTTGTATTTTCTTTCTTTCTATGTAATAGTATATTAAGCGCAAAAAGTGTTCCCCTGGCTCCATAGCATTTCTAAAACCAAAATTGGGTATCTTCAATATCTTCTTCGCATTTGCATCTAATTCGGTTGAGAACTATTCTGAGAAAATTTTAAGAGTGTGGCTCATTATTCTTATCTATATTCAGAGCATTTTCTCGTATTGTGTTTTTTAGGTGTTGCGACAAAAATGGATTTGAGCCAATCTGCGGGAATCACTCTAGTGTTATATATTGAATTAAAAGTCTTACTACTACTTTTATGTTATCATTCTCTATTAGTTTCAGCAACTCAGTTGGTGTATCGTCTGGACCACAAGCTTTTCTAATTTTAGCATTACTTATAGCGTGTTCTACTTTGCATCTCATAATTTCTGGGCCGTCAGTACAGTTTTGGTAGAATTCGGCAATATTATTCCTGTCATCTTCAAACAACTCTGATATATACAGCTGCTATTCTTTTCTTATTTCGTGCTCATTTACAATAATTGTGTTATTATTGTCAACGAGTACAAAGGGAACTCGTTGTTTTAAATATGTTACTCATTTCTTTTAGTTTTTTGTGCACATTAAATAAGTTCGTGTTTAGATATTACATCCTCCATTTCGTCCCACCTTTTTTCATCCATTTTTTTGGCTAATTTGATCTCCTTTTTTATTCTTCTCTGCAGGTGTCCATATTCTGTTACATTAGATTTTATAAGTCGACGTTGTTCCATTAATTTCAAAATGTCGTCATCCATTCATTTTTCTTGATTAAGTTTTTTCTACAATCATTGTTTGTGGAGATTTCTTTAACTTGGTTTTTAAATTCACTCTAGTTTAGTATCTGCTACAAGTAGTTGATGATCAGATCCAATATCTGCCCCAGGATATGTAGTGACTTTTTTGACGGTATTTCGAAACGCTCCTCTACAAGTATGTATTCTATTTGATTTCTTGAAGACTCAGGTTATTACCATCATTAAATGGGCCTTTCCAAGTGTATAGTCGTCACTTGGGTAATTTATACCAGGCGTTTTCTTTACAAAATTATACAATATCTGTCCTCGATCGTTAGGTTGTCCTAAACCATAAGAACCTACAATCTGACCTCGTCGACCTTCCCCAATTTTTGCATTGAAGTCGCCTATAATATATAAAATTTCATGTTCGTGTTTATTACGTTTCTGTAAGATGTCTTGGATCTGATCATACAACTTCTCGACTTCATCGTCATATTTTCACACCGGCGCGTCTGCTTATGAACAATGGCAATATAATTGAAAAAAATGGTCAGATTTAAAAAACAATTACTCCATTTCTCTTAAAAATTCTAGAAACTATAAAAAAATTGCAAACTTACTCATCCACTCAGTTCTGGTTGGCACTCGACCTGCTAAAGCTGTTTTTGCAATATTTAAGCAACAAAATAACTTTAGGTACAGATTCTCATTTTAAAGTATTTTTATACTTTTTTAGTAAAATTGTGTCACTTTTCAGTAGTAATATCCCTAGGACATTGATAACAGACGAGATAATTTGATGACAATCGAAAGCTCGTTCCTTGGTAACAGCACGAAGCCGAAAGCGGAGTGGTGTTACCAAGCAACGAGCTTGAGAAATTTGTCATGAAATTATAAGGCATTCATCAATGTCCGAGGGATATTCGGCGGATAATTTTTAGAAAAAAAAAACGAAAAAAAACGAAACATTTATTTATTAAAAGTACAGTTAGTGAAAGTACAATTATTAAAATTTAAGTTAACATTAGATTCGTTGCTGTTCTCTAGTATAGAAGATTTATTACCACGCATAATATTTATAATCTTGTTGTGGTGTTGAATGCAATTATCAGTCTAATGTTGACATGATTGGGTGAAATTGTTCCACATGACACAAAATGACGAAATTTGAATGGTTGTTAGAACAGTCGAAAAATTATCAGTAGTAATATCCCTAGAACATTGATAACAGACGAGATAATTTCATGACAATCGAAAGCTCGTTCCTTGCTAACAGCACGAAGCTGAAAACTGAGTCCACAGCATATTCTCGTCCGCAGCAAAATTCCATGAATATTCCCCAAATATATTTGTGACTGTTGGTTGTATTTCTGGGAATTTTTTCTTTGATTAGCTCATTTATACTTTGAACATTCTCATTGCCGAAACGTGACATTTTGAAATTTATTTGGATGAAGTTGTCAAACTCGATCGTGTTGTCATAGGGACTGAAAATTGCACTAAATGCAATTATCAGTCTAATGTTGACATGATTGGGTAAAATTGTTCCACATGACACAAAATGACGAAATTTGAATGGTTGTTAGAACAGTCGAAAAATTATCCATATAATTTACCAGTCTTCATCTTTAGTACTTAAAATCAAATAGCGATCTCACATTGTTTATGTGTTTATAAATAAACATATTAAGTCACGTTACATTAAATACATTATTTACATAATAAATCAAAAATACCGTTTATTACGATGCATATTTTGTTTGCATTGTTGTCACCATTTAATATTGTTACCACCAAATTTGTCAAAAGTAGTTTTATATACCTGTATTAAAGAGTGTCACGACTTTTTATTTACTAATTTTTCTTGTACAATACTCACTACTTTAGGTATATTTAGCAAGTATTCATCAAGTGCCTCGTAATGAGTACGGTTTGTTTATGTGACAGAGAAGATTAAAAGATAGAGTGATAGTATTGACATCCAATAAGAAAACATCCGGAGATGGAACAGACATTTATATTCTAGTTATTGTTCTGCAATAAATCTTCCTATTGCATCATTCATTACCATTTCTCATATTATATTTTTGCAGCATATAAGAAAACTATATCCTACAAGCATTACAAATCCGTGGAAACACTCAATATAACAACCAAAGAATATCAACGTATAGAGTCTATATTCTTTGCAACAACTATGGGAACAAATTGTGATAGTTTTCTCCTTGGAATCTTTAATGTTCTTAATTTATTAGTGTCAGTTTAAGTATTCTACCTTTTTGTCTCGGTGAGTCGGGAAAATGAGTATGAAATAGGCAAATTTGTGATTACCAATGAATAGGAAGAAGATAATGCAAAAAACCGAAAAGATAATGAATAAGGAAAGTATGAAGAAAAAAAAATAAAGAAGAGGTAAGCTAACTATTATTTAATACTGATATCTGTGTCATTTTCTTCTTCACTACTTATTATTAATTTAATGTTCTACTTTCGTGTAACTGGTATTTTAATGTAATGAAGAATTATCCTCTAGACATTCTCTTCTTACATTGTCACACGTATCTTCAAAGTTGTGATTTTTTACAGATAATCTCTAAATTGTTCAAAGCTGCTTCCCTCACAAGTTTCTCCAAATTTGTAAGGAAAAACACTGTTTTCCTCATCCCCATAATGAAAGAAATTTGTTTTAAAAATTCTACTCAGAAAACCAGCAAGTTATTGTGCGCATTAAAATCTTGGATGACATTTCATTAAATCAAGAGATAATTAATCATCCTTAAACAAATATAAATATATTCAATAACACTTTATCGGTGTCTTAACATTATGTAGCGTTAAAAATATCTAAATTAAATTATAAATATTAACAAAAATAATCAGAATCTTTATGCAACTCGACCCAAGAATATTCTATCAGTGTTGCTAACAGTGATAAAGAATAAAAAAAATAATATAAAATGCGGGCCAATTTGTATAGATGACATACTTCAGCAAGGTGCATCAATCAAGATGAAGTTCTTTATTCTGCTATCGCTAGTTGCTTTTTGCAGCTGTTTACCAGCTCATCAAAAACAATATAAAGATGTAGAATCAAAGAACGTGGTTCAAAAGAATAATCCTATTAACAACTTTTGGAAGACGTGGAACCAGCAACATCAAGGAGAAGAACCATGGAACAAGTGGGCTGAATATGGCGTAGACAAACAACCTGGTAATTACTGGAGGCAATATGTACAGGGCAAAAATCAAGTTGGCGATGTTGCTGTACCCTGGATCTATCATTACTGGTAAGTTAAATGAAGGTAGTCACAATATTATTAAGTTTTTTTGTTCTGTTCTATACATTTAGTTATAAAATTAGTTTTTTTATTATGTTTTGATTTTTGAACATTTTTGCAAATTTTCAAATGCTAATGGTGATCTATGTATAATGATAGTACATTGAACATAACTCACTTTATTTGAGAAATCTTCTGAATATGGAAGCATATATGCTTATTTTTATAAAGATGTCTTGCTTCCATATTTTGAACTTAATTTCAAAAATCGTGTCAAATTACCTTACTGTACCTTGTACATTAATTACCTTAATACCTTTATTATTTCAATGCAAGAAAACTCATTTTTACTTAAAGTAAATCATATTAAAATTTCCATTATAAAAGTACCAACTTTATTAACACATTTTATTTAGTTTTTAATTTATTAAATTCTTTCTACATTTACTAAATTGTCTCATCTGAAATTTGACATTTTTAATATACATATATTGTGGAGAATACATGCGCCTTTTATATATCTTCAAGATTCAATAGATATGAAACGCCTAAATTTTTAAACTAATTCGAAACATAGTAATTGTGATTCCTTTCTGCATATTAACTTCTCTTTTAACACAATATTATATTTGGAAATTAATATTCTAGCATACTTGTTTCTTTTACGTTTTTTTTATATATAAAATAGAAAATAGTTGATTTTGCACAAAACCTAATATATATATATATATATATATATATATATATATATATATATATATATATATATATATATATCTGAATATAATTCTCACTATTTTTGCATCTTAACTTTTTTCTATAACTCTGTTTATTGTGTTTGTTATTATCTGCAATAGATTAAATAATACAAATTTGACATTTTAAAGATGAACAAATGCACTTATAAATGTATATTTTATAGGGATACCAAGGATTACGAAAACTTGAGTCCTGTACAACGTGTCCAACTTCTTCTTAATTATTTGCAAGTTCACCAACAGTGGAATCAATTGAACTCTGATGTACACAATGAAGATTATTTGCACCAGCTGTTGTACCAACACCTTCCTGAATATGTACAATATAGCCACGAAGACGTGCTACCCCACTTAGTACAATACTTTGAACAAAACCCCGTAAAATATACCGATATGTTGCAACAAGTGGTTCAATACCCATGGTCCCACCAACAACTTATGTACCATATAATGTACCAATTGTACCAACATTATGGCCAAGCTCCGTGGACCCAAGAACAAATCAGAAACCATATTGTAAAGTACCAAGAAGTTTTCCCCCAACCATTATCTCATGATCAAATCGAACAATTGGTAGAATTTGTGTACCACCTTCAACAAGAACTAATCCCAATACACTACCAACAACTAGAACAAGTACAACCCCAGTTAGAGAATTACTTTGAACAAAACCCAATGAAATATAACGATATTTTACATAAATCCATCCAATCTCCATGGTCTCAAAGACAGCTATTGTACCATGTAATGTATGAATTATACCATCATTATGGTCAAGCCCCATGGTCCCAAGAACAAATCAGAAAGCACATTGTACAGTACCAAGATGCTTTCCCTAACCCATTATCTCAGGATCAAATCGAACAATTAGTAGAATTTGTTTATCATATTCAACAGGAAGTGATGCCAATGCACTACCAACAACTAGAACAAATGCAACCATGGAACCTGAAACAAGTACATTTAATAAACAACGGACAAGTCCTACCATGGAACCAACACATCGCTCAACCATTGAACTATGAAACACTCTATTCAAAGAACTACCAAAATGGTTTGCCATGGACCTACAGACAACCACAACAAGGATATGAAGCTGTCCAACCATGGTCCCATCAACAAACTGTTTCACAGATATACGGAAATCCATTAGCTCAACACTATTATACTCTTCCCCAACCCGGTGTTTTGGGAGTAAACCAATGGCAACAAAATCAACAACCATGGACCCAATACTGGAACCGATACGGACAACAATACGAACATCCTCAACAATGGGTTATGTGAAAATATATTTCTAATGAACATTTAAAACAAATAGTAACATTTTGATTTATATTAAATATATACAAATGATGATTTGCTAAATATATAATATATTTTTAAATATTCTTTTTATTATTATTCTGTATTGTGCTCCATTGTAGGATCTAGCCCATCGTATTGGCTAAGCAAGTAAAAATCTATTCTAAATAGATAAATTCTATATCTAAATTTACACTAATAACTTTTAAAGTTTTTCTGCTTACAAAAGACTTTTTACATCCGCAGTTACAATTTTCCTTTTGGTTGCTGCAAAAGAGATTATATTTATGGCTGTTAAACCAAACCTGAAGAGGTATAAGATAAACTTACCCCTTTCCGTCTCGTGGAGCTTAAATCTATTAGAAACAGTTACCAAACAAGAAAAAACACGTACGACCAGCTCCATATTTCATTAACTCAATACACATCAACGATCAACCTTCAACGATAACAAACTTACTATATTACTATCGGTTTACAAACTGTAAAAGTTGGAAATACTTTTGTTGGAAATAACAATTGTTAATGGGCGATATTTTGTAGCAAAAATAAATTATTACAATTGAAAAATATCTTTTTGAATGGGACTATAAAGAGACACAAAGTTTAACCTTTACAAAAAAACAAAACAAGATCCCAATTATGATTAGGTATGTGTCAGTTGTCAAAAAATAAAGCTAACACACATTAACCACACCCTAACATTTTTAATTTGACTTATTACAATTTCTTAACTTGTTATGAAAGCAAAAAGCAAAAAGTTACCTAAATTTGAAAACTCGGCTTTTTAAAAACCCAAACACAATGGAACCATGTGGGCATTCTTCTAACCAAGTTATTAGAAAACCCGTTTTACAAATCTCTCAGATTAGAGGCAGCATTAAAATAAAATAGTGACAGATTACATTGAGTATATTTCACTTTTTTACAACAAATTTGCCGGTTCACCCAACCCACCTCACTTTACTTACTTCACAGCTAACTGCCACAGTGATACATATTTTCCCATAAAAAAGACGAAACACGAAAATCCATTAAAAATTTGATGAGAATTTTGGGACCACCAATGAAACAAACTGCCTTTGACAGTGACTCCAACGAGAGTAACTTCATAATCTTTAAAAATCATTCGTCTCTCCGCATAACGTTCCCATCAACACAAGTGGATATTTATTTGACTCGCAAGACATTATAAAGTGGCTTTCGATCAAAAAATACCGAAGAAATACGCATATGTGATATACAAACAAAACTTTAAAATGTGTTTATTATCAATTTCAGCGATGCAAAAGGATTAAAAATACTTTTTCGGTGATTTAATACATACAAGGTGATTTAAAATGCTGTAAATTGTTTATGTATTTTATTTTTGAAACTCTCAAAAATTAAGACCATTTTATGATCTATAACTTTTATTTGAAATATTTTTCTCTAGAATGTATAAGTTTTTTATAGACAAAAATCTATGTTTTTCAGTTTTTTAGATTGTTTAAAAAACAAAACAAAATCAGATGTACGTCTTCCCGGATTTTTCATCAGCTACCCCTCATACACCTTTTAGCAAATATTTTATTACTGATTGCGATGTATAGTCCAATCGTCAGAGAGTTGACTTCTAAAAATCATACGAACAAGCTGAATTTTGTAGAGAATATTAATTGTGGGACCCCAAAAAGATGCAAAAAAGATTACTGGTTTTACCCTTGGGCTTCCTTCTAAGACGCAAGATCAAAACGCAAAAGAATCGATTTACCAAGAAACTGTACACAGTAAAGAAAATGTTTCAAATAAAAAATAAAATTGAAAATGTTTCAAATAAAATTGATCACTTTCATTGACCAGTCATAGTGAAATTCTCATTTAAAGAATCAATCTTTAAAACCTATGACACGAAATTTCAATTTTGAGATGTGGTAACAAATATGAGGTATTTGAAATATGAATAACGCCGACGTTAATGTTTTACATTACAGACCATCACACGTCACGGAAAATGTATTTAAGAAGACGGTTTTAGGTCTAGCTTACTGCAGAAATTTTTCTCTTTGAAAAACGTACTAGTGTAAGTAAAAAAAGTTTTAAATGTTATAGATCGTTTGTTGTGTAAAAGTTTAAATTCAGTGTTTTTATGCATATTTCAAATGCCTCACATTTGTTGCCAAAACTCAAAATTAAAATTGTATGCTATACGTTTTTAAGGATAGGCTCTAGTTATCGAAACTTCATAGTGACCAATCAATAAAAGGGATAGATTTTATTAATATCGTGAAAATCATGAAAACTGTCAAAAATCGCGAAACGTTCATTTATTTAACACCTGTATAGAATCTAAGTTATAGTGACCAATCAATAAAAGGGATAGATTTTATTAATATCGTGAAAATCATGAAAACTGTCAAAAATCGCGAAACGTTCATTTATTTAACACCTGTATAGAATCTAAGTTTATTTGCGGCAAAATACAAAAACTTCATATTAAAGCTGAACTCTTCACCTTTAAAGCGTAGTTTGAATTTTATCGGTAGGGCACTCTTATCAAAAGATATCGAATTTTTACCATCGAGCAACCAAAGAGCAACCAAAGATACCAAAGATACAAATTTTATTGAACTTGATTACGCGCGCGTAACTGACATTCAAAATCACCTATCACTGAAAGCGTTGTTTCTAAGAGAACGGTTCATTTTACACAAAAATTGTTTATTAACATTGTTGTTTAAAATTATCTCAGCTACTTTTTTATTTATAATATTTTTTCGACAGAGTACAGATTCTTGCTAAATCGATTTTTTGTGTTTTTATCCCCCCTCTGCAAGAGAGTTTTAGGGAGAAGCTCAGGGGTAAGAGCTATACACTTTTTTGCATCATTTTGGGGTCCAAAAATTAATATTCTCAGCAAAATTCAGCTTGTTCGTATGATTTTTAGAGGTTCAGTGGCATTTTCGTCTCTGACGACTGGAGTATTGGGACCGTGCAAGTTCGGAAGAGCGACACCTGGTGTCGTAAATCAGCAAAATTTACTGTGCTGTCATGTTAGATCGAGGTTACCGGATAACTGTCAAGGACGTAGCCCCAAAAAATAATAAGAAGAAAAAGTAAGATTGAGGTTATGTCGGTATGTTATTAAAAGGTAAACGTTGTATGTAGTGTAAATACAAATAAATACATTATTAAATCACAGCATTACTGTTAATATGGATGCAATAATTAAAACTGGATTTGTGAAAGTAAATCACCAAATAACTTTTCAACCAAGCACTGAGTTAAAGGGAAAAGCTTTTGTAGTGGCAAACTATGTTAAGGATGTGGAACAATTAAGAAAAAATGGACAAAACTATGTAATACATAGCTAAACTTAAAGTTACATTAGCATTAAACTTGATTTTTGGGTTAAAGTGAACTCTAAGTGAGTGTTATGAAACTAAAATTTTCAGTTAAAAGTGAACTTTTATTTATTATTTACTTCAAACAGACTTTAAAGTCGGGCGCAAGAATAATGCATAATTTAGGTTATGTTACTTACTTATGCTTTTTTATGATATATATCCACTTTCTCTTTGTAGTAATTTGTGCTTCGAAGTTGGAAACGAATAAAACTTAAATTGACAATTTTTTACGATTTATAACACAGCATTTACTAAATCCCATTTTCTTCAGTGACAGAAGGTGTAAATAAACAAACGAATATGAAATATGATAATTTGACAATCGCCAATATGAATTTATGAAATCTATGAAATGTGCAGTAAAAAATGCAAGTTTTCTCTGCTACTCGCGCACGATCGTTTCTGGTATCACATCCAAGTACTTGCACGTCGCCAATATGAATCGCTAACTGGTATTAATTTTTTTTGCATTTTTAAGGTTTATGTGATTGGGCATTCTGGACTACTACATACTTATAAAATATTTAAATATTTTAAGAGGAGAGAGTAGAGAATTTTTTTGTGTTAAGGACATGTTCCCTTTCTGCCGTAAACAAGAAACCTTAAGAAGTTCTAAGGAAAACAATCAATATACAAACAGAATATTTTATGAGAATTAATTGTAATAAAATAAAACAATGTCCTATACATGAAATAAAGCAATTAAATCATAAATGAAAACTTTGAAGTAAATTCCAGTTCAAGTTTTTAGTTTTCTTCTGTAAATGCCGGTGTAATTAGAAATGACAAAATCGGATTCCAAAAATTCATTTTTTCTTTCGGGATGTATACCAATGTTTTCTTTATGTCTTCCATTTTACTTAATTTTACCAATTAATTGGAAGTACAGTTAAATTTGCTCTTCTAATAGAAGCCTGAATTGGCTGTACTGCCTTCCGTAGTTTGAATTCATCCATTATGAAGCCGCCGATGTTCATCTTACATTGAACCGTGTTAGGATTCTTTGATGAAAAAGTCATTTCTCTGTATTGTGATATGGCAAAAGCCTTTTTTTGGTTTCTTGGGTCATTTTTGCCATACGGATCATCACTTATGCAGGTTTTTTTTTATAAAACTGGGGCCAGCATGAACTGAAGTCAATGAAATCATCAGCAGTCATTTTAATAACAGAAAATATGTCGTCAATTTTTGATGATTTGATTATAAGCTCTTCAACCTCAATAATAGTATAATATCCTTCTTCTTGCTTTAATTTTCTTCTGATGATGCCAAAATCTCTGTCATTTGGCATAAAAGAGTGACTCTTAACAGGAAAGGTTAGTTTGACGCCATTAAACTTTTTAATCTCACACATGTACATCATCATGCGAATCACAGTATTATTTTTATTTTGCTCTGCGCAGTTCTCCCCAAACAGATAAAGGTTTTTTATACCACTGCCAATTTTGATTTTTATGTAAAAATCTAACAGAGTACAAACTTCGTTTCACGCCTTTACTCCCTTCACCTTCATGATAGATAAAAATTGCGTGGTCACTTCTTTCAGTGATACATAGAACTTTTTAGATTTACGCTTGTGTACTGTTAACTTACTGT